AAACGGTAAGAATAACACACTGTTGAAGCACAATTGGGTATAAAAGAAAAACTCACCGTATTTATTCTTTAAATTGTCAATTTCTGCTTTATTCTGTGGCCACAGCCCACGAGAACCAGGCGCACGAGAAAGAGGAAAAATTTTCCTCTTTCTCGTGCGCCTGGTTCTCGTGGGCTGTGGCCACAGAATAAAGCAGAAATTGACAATTTAAAGAATAAATACGGTGAGTTTTTCTTTTATACCCAATTCCTAAACCGGTCTGACAGGCTTTATATTTTTTAAGCGCCCAAAGCAGGCTGGAGGATTATAAGACAATAGAATGCTAATGAGCAGTCAGAGAGTATCCGTGACTCCGTGTTCCAGATATGAGATATCTATGGTTCCAGGACATTTTTAGACAACTCTCAATGAGAAGTTGCTCCGTAGTTTCTCCGTGGTATAATGATATATAGGTTTTCCCATTCCCATTTTAGTGTGACAGAAAATATTGACAGGTATATAGACTGTTTCTTTTACTTCGTGAAGTTATTCAGTAAAGAGAGCTAGCTATTGAAAGCTGAATATTGTGTTTTAAAAAAGCAATTAACATAGCTGAAACCCTTGCTCAGGGAAAATCTTTCAATCAAGTTTACAATTGAATCTGGGACTTGGTAAAAATGGCTTGGAAATGCAATCTATAGACACCTAAGAGTAGACCCTCTAGGGGAGTGTAAGACATACACACTAATATTTGTTCATGAGTTCAGGGCCGTACCACCTGGGCGGTGTGGGGGTGTATCACCCCCCCCCCCAAAGAAAAGTAAAACAAGGGGGATCAACTTGCGGAGAGGGGGCCCTGGAAAGCTGGAATTGCGGAATGTGTTAAATATTACAGGAATTTTCTGGAAAATTGGTCTAAAAAGGTCTTCAAAACTAAATTTAAGCCCCCATTATGTAAACTTAGTGTTTGAAAAAACTTTTGGGACCTCCCCCTCTTCCACCGTCGCCACTATTTTGCAGAAAAAAATAGTGGGGGGGGGG